CTGCGGCCAATTTATACCCGCAGACTTCTTAATCTCATCTGCCCACCTAACCTTCTGTCTCCCCCTAACCCGCTTCCCTTCTCTGGGAATCCAGTTAGTTACCCTTAATGACCACCGGTTATCCTGTCTACGAGCTACATGCCCGGCCCATGTCCATTTCCTCTTCTTTATTTCAACTATGATATCCTTACCACCCGTTTGTCCCCTAATCCACTCTGCTCTCTTCTTGTCTCTTAAGGTTACACCTACCATTTTTCTTTCCATTCCTCGCTGCGTCGTCCTCAATTTAAGCTGAACCCTCTTTGTAAGTCTCCAGGTTTCTGCTCCGTAGTTAAGTACCGGTAAGATACAGCTGTCATATACCTTCCTCTTGAGGGATAGTGGCAATCTACCTGTCATAATTTGAGAGTGCTTGCCGAATGTGCCCCCCCTTTCTCATTCTTCTAGTTAATTCAATCTCATGGTTCGGCTCCGCGGCTATTACCTGCCATTAAGTAGACATAGTCTTTTACAACTTGAAGTGCAATATTACCTATCTCGAAGCACTGCTCTTTTCCGAGGTTGTTGTACATTACTTTCGTTTTCTGCAGATTAATTTTAAGACCCACCTTTCTGCTCTCCTTGTCTAACTCCGTAATCATGAGTTGCGATTCGTCCCCTGAGTTACTCAGCAATGCAATGTCATCGGCGAAGCGCAGGTTGCTAAGGTACTCTCCATTAACTCTTATCCCTAACTGTTCCCGTTCTAGGCTTCTGAAAACCTCCTGTAAGCACGCGGTAAATAGCGTTGGAGAGATTGTGTGCCCCTGTTTTACACCCTTCTTGATTGGTATTCTGTTGCTTTCTTTATGAAGCACTGGTAGCAGTTGATCCCCTGTAGATTTCTTCCAGAATGTTTATATATACTTCATCTACGCCCTAATTCCGCAGTGTCTGCATGACGGCTGATATTTCTACTGAATCAAATGCCTTCTCGTAATCTATGAAGGCTATGTATAGTGGTTGTGTTATATTCTGAGCATTTCTCTATTACCTGATTGATAGTATGAATGTGGTCAATTGTTGAGTAGCCTGTTCGAAATCCTTCTTGTTCCTTTGGTTGATTGAATTCTAATGTTTTCTGTACTCTGTTAGGAATTATCTTTGTATATAGCTTGTATACTACAGAGAGCAAGCTGATCGGCTTGTAATTCTTCAAGTGCTTGTCATCTCCTTTCTTATGTATTAAGATAATGTTAGCGTTCTTCCAAGACTCTAGTACGCTTCCCATCAGGAGACACCTCGTAAACAGGGTGGCTAGTTTTTCTAACACAATCTGTCCTCCATCTTTCAGCAGATCTGATGTTACCTGATCCTCACCAACAGCTTTGCCTCTTTGCATGCTCTCCAAAGCTTTTCTGACTTCTATCATTACTGGTGGGGTGTCATCTGGGTCACTGCTAGTTCTTATAGTATTAAGGTCGTGCACTCGACTACTGTACCCATCTCTGTAAAAATCCTCCGCTATTTTAACTATCCTATTCATATTGCTAGTTATTTTGCCTTCCTTGTCCCTTAGTGCATACATCTGATTTTTGCCTATCCCAAGTTTCCTCTTCACTGCTTTGAGGCTTCCTCCGTTTTTCAGAGCGTGTTCAATTCTCTCCATTTTATACCTTCTTACATCGCATACCTTACGCCTATTAATCAACTTCGAAAGCTCTGCCAGTTCTATTTTGTCTGTTGTACTTGTGACTTTCATGATTTGACGCTTCTTAATAAGATTCTTCGTTTCCAGGGAAAGCTTGCCAGTGTCCTGTCTAACTACCCTGCCTCCAACTTCCACTGCACACTCCGTAATGATACTCGTCAGATTATCATTCTTTGTATCTACGCTAAGGTTGCTTTCCTCACTAAGAGCAGAGTACCTGTTCTGAAGCGAAACTCTAAATTCCTGTACTTTCCCTCTCAGTGCTAGCTCATTGATTGGCGTCTTGCGTATCAGTTTCTGTCATTCCTTCTTCAAGTCTAGGTGAATTCGAGACCGTACCATTCTATGGGCACTGCATTGTACCTTGCTAACCACTTCCACATTCTGCACGATTCCTGGGTGTGCACTCATTATAAAGTCTATTTCGATCTTGTTTTCGCCATTAGGGCTCTTTCATGGCCAATTGCGGTCTTCTCGTTTTCGGTAGAAGGTATTCGAAATCCGTAAATTATTGGGTTCTGCGAATTCTACTAGTAGCTCTCCTCTGGCGTTTCTAGTACCGATTCCAAAATCCCCTTATTGCCTGGTCTCCAGCCTTCTTCCCCACCTTTACATTAAAGTCGCCCATCACTGTAGTTTTACCTTACTCATTGCCGATTCCACGTCTTCCACGTCTTCATAGAAGCTTTCAACAGAAGCGTCATCGTGGCTGGATGTAGGCGCGTAAGCCTGTACGTCTTGTGTCTTTTATTCAGTTTAGTTACGATACCTACCACACTTTCATTAAGGCTATAGTATTCCTCTATGTTGCCAGCTATGGTTCTGTGAATTAGGAGCCCCACTCCCCGTTCTCTTCTGTTATCGAAGCCCTGATGGCAAAGGACGTGCCCATTCTGTAGCACCGTATAAGCCTCATCTGTCCTCCTAACCTCACTGAACCCTATTATATCCCATTTGACACCCTCTAGCCCCTCGAATAGTACAGCTAGACTTCCCTCACTAGATAAGGTACTAGCGTTAAACGTTGCCAAGTTCAGGTTCCAATGGCGGCCTGGCCGGATCCAGAGATTCTTAGCACCCTCTGCTGCGTTGCAGATCTGACCGCCGCCGTGGCCAGTTGCTTTGCAGCTGCTGGGGACTGAGGGCGGTGAGTTATTTGACGTATGCATGTGGGAGGTAGTGTCCAGATACTGCACCAGGGTGGCCAATCCTTCTCTGGTGAGGGAGTGCGTTCCCGGCGGTGCTTACCGGTGAGGCCGCACCCCAGGCCTTTTAATGCAGTTCCATCACCACGCGGATTTTTTTTTTATCCGGTTGGGAACTGCGCGGCACCGGGATTTGAACCACGGACCTTTCGCATGCGAGGCGGATGCTCTAACCACTACGCCATCGTCGCACCACATCAGTTCAAGGTTAACACCAGTTCAAAAATATTCACTCCTATAGACTTGTCTCTCAGAACTTCAGCATTAACCCGGCCAATGTCGGGACGAAGTCCGGCTAACGCTCGTGCACTCAGTATGATTCAGTCGCTGTAGCTCGTATGTACAATTGTAGGCTACCGTTTCTGTCGCCATGGCTGGTATGCACAACTATACACGACCCTTTCTTCAACGGAAGATACAAAATCTAATATAAAAGTTTCACATCAGATACGCTTCAATGATTCTTCATGTTCCCCCTACCTAAAAAAAACGCATGAGGTACGGTGTACCGTTTAAATACCAATTCGCCGAAGACAACAACAAAACAACGACAATTGTTAACCCATTTGTCGCTGAAAATTTCGCATTAATGGGTCTTCTGCCTACTGATAGTGAATTTGCTTTGCTTTCTCTTTTTTTTGCATACAAACTTGCTAGGTCCGACATCAGTGGTGCGAAATCTCTGCGTAGCATATTTCTCACGTTTTCGTTTCGTTTAAAATGGTCAGAAAGTAGTTGTAAAGCAAATAATAGCTCTCAATGTACTAAACACACTTTGATTGATTGATTGATTGATTGATTGATTGATTGATTGATATGTGGAGTTTAACGTCCCAAAACCACCATATGATTATGAGAGACGCCATAGTGGAGGGCTCCGGAAATTTCGACCACCTGGGGTTCTTTAACGTGCACCCAAATCTGAAAACACACTTTAGTACTACTCCGAAGACGCATAAATCACTGCAAAGCTTGTTTAACCTCTGTAAACTTCAGACCAAGAGTGCGCGTATGCCGGTTATATATACTTGATGCGACTGAACAAAAGTTATTTCACGTTCAAAAGTTCTGAAAGTGAGCGCCTGGCAAAGAGCGATAACAAGAAAGCATGCGCACCAATGTTTCACGAAACAACAGTATGAAGAAGGTTCTTTGACATGCCTGTCATTCATCATGTAGAAGCGTCGTTTCCGCTGTCTAATCATCAATCATTAGGTAGCTCCATCTGCTCCAGTCTCAACACGGTTTCCTCTTCGAGCAATTTTTTCTATGGATACGTGAGATGCACTGATTCAGTGATGTCGATGCTGCGGTTATGTCCCGTCATAAACGGGAAAAATGTTTTGTGTCAGTACAAAGTCATCTGCAGGGACAAAAAAAAAACGCAACATATCCACGGAGTGAGTGATGATGAGTGGGGCGAAGCGTCCATCCGTGCTTCCGTCTGTTCGTTCGTTCTTGCTTTTGTCCGTCCGCACGACCAATCGTGCGTCCATTCATGCGCCCGTCCGTCTGTCCATGCGTCCGTCCGCAAGTCTGTCCATCCATTTGTCTGTCTGTCTGTTCATGCGTCCATCCGTCCGTACGTCCGCGCGTCTATCCATTCATCCGTTCGTCCACTAATCTGTCTGTCCGTCCGGGCATCCATCTAAAGAAAACTAAGTACCGCCATCTCGCATCCCGTATGGCACATACCCGCTCAAGAGTCCCTTGGTGAATCCTAAACATTGTCTTGTTAACGGCAGACACACGTTTTTTTCGAATCGTAGCACAAATAAGGTAGTTGCTCATTTGTGCTACACGTGGGAGCTACAGCGCCGCCGCCGATATGAGACATCATCGAAGAAGGACGTCAAACGAACGCGAATACGGTGATATCAGTGACGCATGTTTTTGTCACGTGGGTTGAGTATAATTTAATGCAGTCAGTACTATGGGTAATGTGAAAACGTTCGTTGCGTTTGGTGCAGCTGTAGGAGAGGCCGTCGCAACATTGTGCCTGGCCCATTCGGGCAACGTTCCCAAACCGAAGATGGCTAATCCTAGCGTGTGAATCATGCCGACTTCCACAGCGACGCAGAGCATGTTCATGAAGAAACCTGGCTTCACCTGAGAAAAAAATTTAAAAAAGAAGTTTTCAGCGAAGCACCTCAATGTTTCTTACAATATACTGTACTATCAGCGTCAAATGAAACCCGAACAGTGGCAAGCCTTTGCGATAGTATAGTGCGTGCCGTCCAGTTATCACCATTAGCAGGTGCGTGCATCCTGTTCGGCTGCTTTGCGCATATATGCGTGCCTGTGCGTAGTGATAAGATAACGGCACGCACTATACCATCGCGAAGGCTTGCCGCTGTTCGGGTTTCATTTGACGCTGATAATACATGAACCCAAAGTGTGCCATATATTTACGTCTTTTGTGGTAGCACAGCTCTCGCGTATCGATTCTGATCGCGATAATCAAGGCAACAATTTTAGCGAGGCTTAGTCCTTTCAGCCCTGAAGCTTTTGTTTTGGTCGGATACACTTTTTGTGCGCGTTTTTCTCGTAGTTAGGACCTCAGAAGACCACAAACGAAAAATTGAGCCATTGGTACAAGCATTTTTGGTATATTTAAGGTGGCATCAAATTAGGCGATCTGGGCTCAGTGATTGAAAAAAGAAAAAAAATGGCTTATTTTTTCCTGCCAATCAATGGTGTACACAAAATGAAAACCAACGTCTTACTTTTCAGCCTAGTAATCACTGAAACAGCTTCGGTACGTCGTCCCGAAAAGGGCGCTACCCGCCTCAACTTACGCACCTCGGCTTCACGGAAAAACTCGGTCGCGCTTTTCTTCTTCGTGACTGCTACCTCTGCAAACGTGCCGCAATATTGATGTCATTATCAGTGGGGATCATTGAAGAATTATGTCCCCAAAAATGAACAGTATTGGTTACGTTTCCTAGATACCAGGGGAAACGTTGTGCGGTGGTGTCAATTGACTCCGCCAGTGCCGGAAGGGTTAATGAGCTAATATCTTCATTTCTACCCGTAATGACGAAGGGATATCGTGTCCGTTGAAATTGTTTGCACAATTGAAGATAAATGAAATAGCATAACTGATCTCTCGTAGGAAACAGTGCAATGCGAAAGTGAAATGTGTCTTTAGAATGGTAGTTAAGTGCTTATTTTGCACTGTTTGGCCACTATATCGACTGACAAAATGAATGTTGTAGCAACAAGAGTGGAAACTTGGGCTAGTTGGTGCGTAGTCATATTTGCAAGATGTTTCAGCGCGCGAACAAAGGAAAAAGGACAGAGTAGACAGAAAGAGCGCTGCAGCGCTCTTTCTGTCTACCCTGTCCTTTTTCCTTTGTTCGCGCGCTGAAACATCTTGCAATGTCATGCGAAGACCGCCAATTCACTTTAAATTTGCATAGCACTTTTTTCAAGCAAAAAGGGCGCACGGAAATATCATGCACAGGATGAGCGCGAACTAACAATTGCCACCGCCTAACACTTAGACCACTCTGCTCGAACACAAAGAAGGACCTACTGTACGAACGCGCAAGTGCAAAAGGGGTGCGAACAATTTGCACAGTTGTTATTTGTGTGTGATCAGCGCGCTTCTCTCGCAAGTGTAGCCACTGCAGCGGCCAAGGGGGCCTTACGCAATGCCACTTAGATAATTTCAGGCCTGCTCACTGTGTCCACCACTGGCTCTGACGTCACTCCGTTTTGACCAGTGTGTTTCGCTGCACAGACGTGCCTAAGCTTGCTCTCATCGCTCGACGGACATCGATTGCCAAGCCCGACGAAAGTTTTCGGGGCGTGCTAGTGTTCTTGTTGGCGACTTTAGCAGACCATCTTTTTCTGTGTCCGTGTACTGCAGCGTGGATATGTGATGCGTTTTGTGTACTGGATATTCGCAATCTGTGCGGCAGGAAATCCGAACGGTTGTGCGATGCTGCGCGGTGAATCCTCGCGGCAAAGGGACCGATGCTGCGAGTGTTCTCGTTTCCTCAGGACAACCGAAAAACGAAATGGGAGCGTGTCGTACGTCAAAGTGACGTCGACATACGTTTTCTTCGTGACTGGAGGTCTGTAAGTACGCGTGTTCGTGTAACGTATTTTAAGTCGTTCCAATGACCCCATTGCCACTATGTTTCGTTCTTGCTCCGAATTAAAGATGCCAGGTGTGCGTCTGACTTCGGCAGGCATAGGCCCTGACATTAAATAATGAACGCGTGTAGCAGAACATTTTTATAGCAAGATTTTTTTTCTTCGGGGTCAGTAAACATTTGCTATTGGCGATTAGTGCCGTGGACTTGTATATCTCTGTTCACTTGGTTGACAGAAATTGAAGGAATTCTGTCGCATTATTTAGTGCATTGGTTTTGTGCATAGTATTTTCTTGCCGGTATTCATATCACGTTATTGCAGTACTTTTGCGGCCAGCAACTCAGTATAATACGTTTTCTTGAAATTTAGATACGTGTAAAACACGGTAAAATGCTTTCTTAACTGGTTTTCAGGCACGTAATTTCTACTTCAAGCTAGAATAATTAAGAACCACTACCAAAAATATACCGATTCAAGAACTGGCAGTTTGGTAGAAGCGTGCACTGTGGCTACACGGTTTAGTATAGACCCAGTGCTGACAGTTTTCCCAGGCCCTAAGTTATATGGCCGACTACGCGCCACTGCGAGAGGGGCCAGACCTAAAGAGGAAATGCCGCTTGTTTTGTCAGACGCAAGCGATTTTCGTGAATCAAATACTTCGTTTTCTGTTGCAACGGTCATCGCCCTGATATTGTGCTGAATACCATACTTTTGGCAGCAGCACACTCGCTCTTCAATAACTACGTGTCTATGAAGACACGTAGTTATTGTACACGTAGTGTGTGTGTGTGTGTGTGTGTGTGTGTGTGTGTGTGTGTGAGAGAATAAAAGTTACCGCATGTATTTTGTTAATTTGTTGGTCCCTCAAAATTTGTACTTATGGATCGACCAAACGTTCTATAGCGTCAATATTTGGCTTTTTCGTGGAAGAAATGGCTCCCAGGTGAGTCTCCAAATTCCTTAAAGCGCAATATTTTACTTCAACCAGCACCTTTTTTGACCCGAAAGGCAGAACAAAGTGGTGAAGCAAGTAAAACCTACCCCGAACAATTTGTCTTTTAACGGGAGACGATCGTGGCAATGAATTCACAGACTTCCGTACGCGCACTCGCTCGGGCAACACGAGTGACGTCGTGTCGGCAGTGAGCGGGCCTGATAATCTTCTTGGTGGCATCGCCTTAGTTCCCCCTGTAACTCTAACGCACACTTGCGGTGAAGGGCCAAGACTTACAAACCGCAGCGATCACGATATAAGTGTGGGCACGCAAGCGAACACACACTGTTGAGGCGCAAGCCCATCGCAACGTCTGGGACCAGGAGGGGCGACGACCTTCAGAGTGCCCCTTGCCGACACTTTGCACCATCTCGCCAATGCTAACAAGAACATGCCGATGTCGACAATCTATGAGCACGAACTCTATTAGCAAGGTGATAAACGGGCGTTTTCTGGCCGTGGCGTTTCACGCTGCGCGTGACGCAGCCACAAGTCGTCGGTGCGACTTCAAGTGATGAATATGTTTCTTCGTTTTTAAAGGTAGTATTTTGGGGGGACCTTCAACCACAAAAATTTGGTCTTTCTGTATGTTTTTCTATACATTTGTCTGTTTGTCCGCGGTAATGATTTCCCTAATGGCTGTAATGGCACCAAACGATACCTAAAACGGCCAACCCCATCTGCAGCGTCCACCAATGTTGCTCAAGTTTCAGCGTTCAAACTTGTGAGATTGTCAATTAAAAAAGCAATTACTCCGCTCATCCGAGGCGCCATAACAACACGTCGGTGATTATTATGTGTGCCCTTATTATACTAGAGAAGGCACACACAAGTAATTATAAGGACCGTAGCGTTTATCACGCTGAGCTGACAGTGCAACGCGATGCTCAAAAAGGCAAGTGTTTCCAACGCTTTGCTAAGACGACACGGTGGCAACACCTGCCCTTTGCTGCGTTCTACACCTCATCACCTCCGAGACAGGCGCGCATCGTTCTCCGCGGGCGCCCACGCCTTCCTTCGTTTTCGAAGATAACTGCCAGATGGCGCTCGTGTCTAACGTGCCTCGATGCGCTCGTTCACTTTTGCTGCACGAATCGAGACTCTCTAAGGCAGCGCTTCCAGAATACAACTCGCCGATTTTCTCGCGCCGACCATCAAATAAACGTTTTGTTCACTCTCTCCACACGCAGGACTATCATAGTCTTGCGTGTGTGAAAGATGACGTTTTCGACGACATTTGCAGTGAAACATGCAGATAAGGGACCATTTGTTTTTATTTTTGCGGTCTTTCAGTCTATGTTTAAAGTCATATTCATTACGAAAATATTTAAGTAGAGCCCTGGTGGGCTCCGGCATAAAAGGCTTTCGTGTTAAAGTTTTTCGCCGAATAATATAAATAATTATGTTTCAATCATTGTTGGCTGTGTCCAGCATTAGTCGGCGGCGGGAAGGGTGGCGCCGTGGTGAAAATTTGCTGCCCCGCTTTCACTGCAACTGATTGGAGTGCGAAAAATAACAAGGTTCCTAATGGATGAGTAAAAGAGAAGGTGGTCGCATCATCTTGTCGCAACGGAATAACTACACTAAGCTTCCGACTTTCCGGGGGCACAGGTGGGAAGTAAATAGTTCTTGGTACGCGATGCCAGTGCCGCCCAGGCAGCCCGCCTACAATTTGCTTTACGCGCCACCCGGTCCAGCTGCCTGGGAAGCAGCCTGTTTTACTAGAGTACTCTGGTAGCACAGCAACGGCGAGGTGCACTACGAGCGCTATTTTAACGTGCCCACGTACTCCCCGCGTGCCCTGAAACTCATGGTGAACGCCATGCGACACTATTCTTTCCCCGCCTGTTGTACGGGCCTTCAAATGCTAAAGCAGAGAGGAAACGCATCGCCCGTCTTTACGAGCTCGAAAAGACGCGAGGAGAGAAGGGGGGGGGGGGGGGGGGGCTCAAGTAGCAACTGCTAAACCTTTGATAACGCGAGTAGGATTGTCAATCATGAGTTCGTTATCTGGCTGACGTCGCATATATCCTTCTAAGGAATGCGCTCTCAACGCGAAGAGACGGGGCAAAAGGTGCCCACGGAGCGGCCATACTCTAACCAGTATTTTGTAGAGTTGCATGAAATCGCACCCTAAAGTGTTAGCTGGCAGCCTCATTTCGTATAACATTGAAATATGTTGCTATCACACTCAGTGCTTCACCCTTCCAGTAAAACTGGCCTTGTTTTTGATGCGTGCCTTGGGAGATGACCTTATAATTCAGTCTTTCGACCTGGAATAGAGAGTAATGCTGACGAGGATATCCTGAGCATTCACTGTCCCTACGAGAGAAATACCATGTGAGTGTCCAAGTCGGTATGCTGAATATACGCACTTCAGTGACAAAATACTCACCATGTCGGGATTTCCATCTTCGCCAGCTCGTAAACGATGGCGTTCGGAGGTGTTGCAGCGGGCAGCATGAATGAGAAGGAGCAGCCGATCGTCACCGGCATCGCCAGGTACAGTGGGTGCACGCCTATCGCTAACGCCTGGATTGAAAAAAAAACACACATATATTGTTTCTGAATGCTCAATATAAATTAGGTCAGTACAATGTGTTTCAGTTAAAATGTCCCAATTCAAGGAATTTCAGCAAAAACTATACATATAAAAGGGAAAAATAACACTTACATAACTCAGCTTCCAGCGGCAACAGCGGGATAATTAGAACACTATATACTGTAGAGTACATGTCCCGCCAAACAACTTGGTCTTCTAACAGTGAAGCTGTCCTAGGTCTATCGTTTTATGCTTGGAATCCATGGTAACGCTTGTGAATACTATAAACGCTTATGAGCCACTGACATTGGGTAAAGAACAGGGATTTTCACTGGTCGACTAAAAATCATGGCTGCGCAGAGATACCCAGAAAAGTATCCACTAACACATATACCAACATACAAGCACTAAGGGCCTGAAATACAGATGCTGGGATACATTTGTGTTTGTTGTAACGGGATATTTAAGCAATACTTTTGCAAAAGCATGAAAAAAGTATTCCGGAATACAAGTACAGGAATACATATACAGAATACGGATAGAAGAATACAAATTACAAGAATAAGTTTTTGATTTCAGGAATATTGATGCCCCACAAAGGCAGTAATTGGTCACAAGACAATATTGCTGTTAAATTTGTCACCGCATTGAAACTTGAATGTCAAGCATATCCCCAGCATCACTATACAACACCAGGAAATCGAGAAATAGTGTACGTTTATTCTAGACACAAGATCTGTTTTGCTGAGATGGTTGTTGCGATAACTGCACTTAAGCAACAACAGCTGCTCAAATAGGCTGTCTTTGATACAGCGCTAGTTGCACCTCAGCCCAAGACATCGTAAATAGCTTGCCGCTCACAAAAAACGGAGGTGCATCACTTGCCTTGCGCTACTGCGACTCTCGCCAGCAGAGCACGACTTCTGCCGTGGTTCTGCCATCTCAGCGCAGGGCGTTTCACCGTACACGCCATTCTGTGCGTGCCAGGAGCCCTGTGCCGCCTTCCACTGCGTCGGCGACCAGTGGCGTAGCAGAAAAAGCATACTTCTCTCTCGTAGAGTTGGGTAAGCTCAGTCGTGACAAAAAATAACGAAATACCCGTGTCGTGTACAGTATCGCGATACAACCAGTACATCTTAAAAGTATTTCACTACCGAGATACGAATACATTTTGCCAATGTGTATCGACAAATCAGTTAAAATAGGCAAAAGCACCTCCAAGATACCATCATTTTACTCTTGTATCGCAATGCTGCTTTAGTGTGCTTTAGTGTGAAGGCAACGGTTAAGTCAACAAATAGGTGTGCCGAATAAAAACCTGCGTGGCCTATCAGAAAACTATCCTCATTCATTAAAAACACGTACGTGCCATAAAAACTGGGTAAATCCCACTTCACTCAACTTCTACTAAAATGAAGAAGGCACCAGTTTGCTCAAAAAAGGGCATGAGCGTTACCATTGTCATGCCACTGTTTCTTGACAATTTGTGCTTACAAAATGAGGGAAAAAATAAAAAGCTTAACAAAGAGTATTTACTAAATAGCAGGGATGAAAACTATCGGAGCATTTTGAGCGAAGGCTTCTTTGTAAACCTGTGTATGAGTGGCATAGTAAAGATGCAATGAAACTATACTACCATCTGAATCTGAACAGGGTTTAACAGAGAACACTGATTCAATAAAAATGTGGTACCCTCACGAAAAGAACGCCACCACTTGGCTGTTTCATTTTTGCCGCGAAATGGAGACCAAGACTTCAGTGACGTATTTCTGTCACGGAAATTATGCGAAAAAATGTACCCGATTAGATAGGAAAGAAAAAAGTTGCGTTGACGGGAGTCGAACACACTACCACTCTCTCCAAGAGAACAGATGCCGGACATGCTATACACTGCGCCACAGTCACTCAAGCTGGAGGCTTTACAAACATGGCTTTTTAATCACACACCTTCCTCTCGTAGTGCCCTTGGTGAGCGTGATGGTGTCGCCATCTGGGAGCGCTAAAGGTAAGTTATGCATCGTCACAACGGCCTCCGCGACTAGCTCCTACAACGCGTCCGTCCCATTCAGCACGTTTCCAGTAGGATAAGTGTACTTTTGTCTACTTCTGAACACACCTTAAGGTGGTGACTGCTAGCCTTGCTCAGAGCTTCCACCAATACCAGAAATAGCCTGGCTGTCACCACGCTTGCACTTGGAAAAACGAAAAACGAATATCGTGGCTGGGCTAATGGCAAACCCGAATCACGTTGTTCTCTCTAGTGTGACCACAGTGCTCAAAGAATTGTTAACATGGCGCGTTATGATAATTTTTGCGAAAGTTATATATGTTTTGTCTGTGACGCTCTTTTGGCTGTCACACTGCTTTTTCAGGTGACTCTATCGGCGTGATCTGCCGCAATTGTTTTTTTTTTTCAATAATTGGTCATGGACATTAGTTGTCGAGAAAAGATGTACCATCAATCGTCAACGTGTGGGCAGTCACGTTAAACAGTGGCATACAAACACCAATATACATTATGCAAGCTCTTTTAGGTCGACGTACAGTAAACATTCAAGTACTTCAGAAAGGACACGTTTTACTTTCGTGTTGTACCGATTCCTTTGACGGAGCGATGAACCATGCTATTTTTCAAGCACGACTTCTGCAAAGCGTTGGCAGCTGTCCACAGCTCACCTAAATAAAGTACTCTATTATAAATCCTTATTTTCTTTTTTTGTTTCTGAACGCGCGAATTTATTTCTACTGAACTTTAATTGCCTTTCATGATACATTTAAGGAATGGTTAACATTTGCTTAGATGAGCACACAATACTATGTAAGCGCTTCTGGGTTTAGAGAAAGTGTTAACGATATAGAGCACTTGGTACTCTACTGTGGGAGAGCTTAAAGCCATCCCGTGCTGGCCCTCGATGTTTTCGATTACTACGTATCCTTTGCCTATTTTTTTGGGGCGCAGTCATATCAACGTTACATAATTAACGTGTTTGTTTAGTTCCCCCGAAGTTGACTATACAACACCCTTCTTTATTTTTCTATAAACACACACACCCACACACGCATATATATATATGTATATATATATATATATATATATATATATATATATATATATATATATATAATGTGTGTGCGTGTGTGTGTGTGTGTGTGTGTGTTTGTAAACTTACACTAAGTAACAAACCTAATCGAACAAGGGGCTGCTCTTTCAAACTTGAGCGCGGAATGCTCCGTGTCATCTTCCTGACCTGAATAAGCTTGCATCGCAACTAATTGAGGGTCAAGCACACGCAAACAGTAGCTCAACACAATCTTATGTTGTGAGTCTGGTACGCTACAGTACGCGCTCACATGCGTTTGCGTGCTATAAGAAGGCCGCTTGTGGTCCTACCATCCACTGCGTATAACTCAGCATATAGACCGCCAACAGAGCTTGCGCTTAGTCGGTCTACGAGAACGGCTGTTTTTTATTAATTTCCTGCCTGTGTGATCTCTCGTTCTCTCTGTGCAGTGCAAACTACATGTTCACTTCTATGTATTCCGCCCGCATCTCTCTTGGTATTCTCACCATTTGGCAGACGACGGGCAAGAGTATTGAACTGACAGTCGGATTGCTCATCACTTCGGTAAACATGGAGGCGGCGAAGCATAGGACGAACACCGTCACCACATTAGGAAGGCAGTCGAGACTCTTCAGGTGCTGCACCAGCATCGCTGACAGGCCTGATTGCTAGAAAAATAGGATAAAAGAGCGCTTTCAATGAGACAATAATTTACAAACAATCGCAGTTTAATCTGCTGTTTAAAAAGTCGGTTGAATGTCACGATAGTTGGTTACTCGGCCACTGAATTTACATAGCGAAATCAAGTACATTCTTCCAGTAGGCCTATTTGCATCGTATTAGTGAAAGGCTTCTATCACTGATGCTCACAAGAATCGGTATCTCAATATTCTAAGCTGTTCCAGAGCTGCGTAGAAGGAGGAACAACATTGAGGGTAGAGGGAGGGGCCCGGAAAAATACAGTAAACGTGGGACGAATTTCAGACATAAGTGATGCATGGTGAGTTAGTGGCGTAATATAAGCATGTCAGCAACATTGAAAGCCCATATATTTAGAGACAGCGCCCGTTTCTGATATTATGGCCAGAAAAGATTAAGAGAAATGTACGAAGTAGATAATGTTTATTATTTTTGTTACGCAGCAGGGAATTCCGTGATATGTCCAGGTTTACGCAGAGATAAGTTCACATGATCATAGAATGAAGTTAGGAATGAATGACTACACTCTCAAACAAGGAGTACGACGTTAGCGAGTTCCAATTGAGCCCCGTAATTGATATCCCTTAGCGCATCCGTTTCAACGTTAAGGCATGTTTACGGAAATGGGGTACAAGGCAGTCACTGCACTGACAAAGGCTCATTTTCTTGCCCACCAACTTTCTGACGAAGGAATTTCTCTTCCACAACTATTAAACTGTAACGGGGTTTATTTGCAGAGCAGAACACAGAAAGCGAAGCAGTCAGCAGCATCCGGCCAAGCGCAGCAAGCACGAGTCTATGCTGATGGCGATGCCCCTGATGCGCTGAGAAATGCCGCTGAAGCTCCTCTTCTTCACTACAATCGCCCTCCGCACAAAAAGACGCCATCTTGGCGGATTAGGGAGAAGAAACGACTAATGGGTCGTAATATGGCTTGAGACGAGAGACGTGGACAGTGCCGCGGCCGCGGTAGCGTAGGTTTGTGGATAGGATGATGGGCTCCACGATATAGTTTACGAGTGACGTTTGCTCTACAACGCGGTATGGCCCGATGTATTTGAGAAGACGTTTTGCGGAGCGGCCAGGCGCGGTAGCAGGCGGAAAGTTTGGAGTCGAACGGTCCCCAGTCTGGCGGGATTGCTGCTGCCACTGGTCCTCGGTAGAAAAAGAGCGGGCAAGCTGGCGGCATTCTTCAGCATGTCGGGCAGCTTCGGACAGAGTTGTACTTTCGGACTCATAAGGTTTATATGAAAGAAGAGTGTCTACTGTATTTGAAGGTTCTCGTCCGTACAGAAGAAAGTATGGCGAAAACCCAGTAGTAGTTTGTACGGCAGTATTACACGCGTAGGTGACGAACGGGAGCTCTTGGTCCCAATTTGAATGATCAGGGGCTACGTACATCGACAGCATACTGCCAAGAGTACGGTTGAAGCGCTCCGTCATGCCATTCGTTTGAGGGTGGTACGCTGTACTTGTGCGGTGCACGATTCGGCATTCGTTGAGTAATGCCTTCAAGGCGTCAGAAAGGAAGGCACGGCCTCTGTCACTTAAGAGCTCGCGAGGGGCACCATGACGCAGAATGAAACGTTGCAACAGAAACGTTCCAACGTCACGGGCTGTGGCAGTCGGCAGCGCGGCTGTTTCGGCATAGCGTGTCAGATGGTCTATCGCAACAATAATCCAGCGATTACCAGCTAGAGTTGATGGTAGTGGTCCGTAAATGTCAATGCCGACGTGATCAAAAGGTCGACTAGGACAAGGAAGAGGTTGTGACGGGTAGACTTGCCAGGGAGGTAACTTTTGTCGTTAGCACTGAGCACAGGAGCGAATGAATTTCCGCACGTAGTTATACAAGCCACGCCAATAAAATCTGAGTCGAAGCCTAGCGTATGTCTTGAAGAGGCCTGCGTGGGCGCACTGTGGGTCCGCGTGAAAAGCTTCGCAGATAGCAGCTCGAAGATGGCGGGGTATCACAAGGAGACACTTGCGACCGTCGGAAAGGTAGTTGCGTCGATAAAGAAGATCATCCCTTAGGCAAAAGTTGCTAGCCTGGCGGTGGGGAGCGCGATATGGAGAAGGAGTGAGAGAATCAGTAAGAATGCTTATGAGGCCACTGATCCAGGGATCCTTTCGTTGTTCCACCGTCATGTTGTGCAAGGCGGATGACGCAAGTGCAGGCTCGAGGGAAGAGAGGCAAACACCTTCATCCGATATGGGTGAGCGAGAAAGGGCGTCGGCGTCCGTGTGCTTACGACCAGATCTGTAAATAACGCGGATGTCGTATTCCTGAAGTTTGAGCGCCCAGCGAGCAAGTCATCCGGAAGGGTCTTTAAGTGTGGATAGCCAACAAAGGGCGTGGTGGTCAGAGACGACGTCGAATGCGTGACCATACAGGTAGGGGCAAAATTTTTAAAGGGCCCAAATAATAGCTAAACACTCTTTCTCGGTCACGGAGTAGTTAGCCTCGGCTTTCGTCAAATTTCGGCTTGCGTAGGCGACGACATATTCATCAAACCCTGCCTTTCGTTGCGCGAGCACAGCGCTAAGTTCAACACCGCTGGCATCAGTATGAACCTCCGTGGAAGCGGCAGGATCGTAATGGCGGAGGATGGGTGGTGAAGTCAGCAGGTGGCGTAATTTGGTGAATGCATCGTCGCATTCTGGTGACCAGGTGGAAAGGTCCTTGTCGCCGCTATGAACGTCCGTAAGGGGCGCACATACGGAAGCAAAATTTCTAATAAAGCGTTGGAAGTATGACGACAAGCCGACAAAAGTTCTGAGTTCCTTCAAGTTCTTTGGCTTCGGAAAATCAGCAACTGCTCAAAGCTCGGCGGGGTCGGGAAGTATGCGGTCCCACGATATGAAGTGGCCAAGAATGGTGAGCTGCCGGGCACCAAAACGATACTTCATGAGGTTGAGTTGAAGGCCGGCGTCGGTGAGACGTGTGAGGACGTGCTCGAGACGATTTAAATGGGTGTCGAAATCGGTGGAAAAGACAACTACGTCATCGAGGTAGCATAAACATGTGTTCCACTTGAGGCCTCGTAAAATAGTGTCCATCATTCTTTCAAAAGTAGCTGGAGCGTTACAAAGGCCAAAAGGCATAACGGTAAACTCGTATATTCCATCAGGTGTGACAAAGGCTGTTTTCGGGCGGTCAGATGCTTCCATAGGAACTTGCCAGTATTCAGACCGTAAATCCAGTGAAGAGAAGTATTCTGCTCCCTGCAAACAGTCAAGGGCGTCGTCTATTTGTGGTAACGGGTAAACGTCCTTGCGGGTGATCTTGTTTAAACGTCAATAGTCCACACAGAACCGAATGGAGCCGTCCTTCTTCTTAACAAGAACGACCGGTGACGTCCAGGGACTGTTAGAAGGCTGTACAATACCCCGCTGGAGCATGTCAGCAACCTGGTCATCAATAACACGGCACTCCGACGCTGAGACTCGGTAGAGGCGCTGCCGTAGAGGCTTATGGCTTCCTGTGTCAATCTTGTGAGATATGTTCGATGTGCGACTGAGGCCAGAAACATGGCTGTCAAAAGAAGTACGAGACTTTTGCAGCAGGTTCACTAACTGGCTTCGTCTGAAGAAGACGTTGCGACATCGATGGAGCGGTGGAAAGCGTCAAGGAGTGACTGGTCAACAAAAGAGTCAGAAATGAGCACCCTGAGGTCCGTAGAAAGTAAACTAGATGGAGCGTCAAAAATGTGACGGGCGTCGATCGGACGCACGTGACCGAGACATTCACCATAGAATAAAGGTAAAGGCCCTTCTAGCGTATTGTACACGAGCGTCTTCGTGACGCCATGGTGGAGAGTAAGGAGAGCAATGGACAGTGGAGAACATTTGCGTTGAATGAACAGGGCAGAGGGCATAAATAAAACATCACTGTCGGAAATAGCGTCACACGACACAGTCACCAGCAGAGAAGAGCGCGGTGGTACGGTGGTGTCGTCGGAAACAAACAGTTTATAACACGGCAGGGAGGCTTCGACAGCGTCAACATCAGGAAGTGCAGATAGCTCAAGTTCAGCGCGACAGCAGTCAATGACGGAATTATCATTCGCAAGGAAGTCCCAGCCGAGTATCATGTCATGGGAACACGTGGTCAGCACTACGAATTCAACGATATACACAATCCCTTCGATGACGACTCGTGTGGTACAGGCCTCGAGAGGTGTTACACTTTGTGCGTTAGCCGTTCTAAGAGAGAGGCCGGATAATGGCGTCAGAACTTTGCGGAGTTTGCGGCACAGGTTGATGGAAAGGACGGATAGAGCGGCTCCGGTGTCGACAAGCGCCATGACGACAATACCATCGACTGACACTTCAATGACGTTAGCTGGAAAGGAGCGAGGACTTGTGCATGGCGACGGGGACGCAGTTCGTGCCTCGGGAACTGCGGCACGAACTGCGTTTCCTGGTCGGTGGGTCCGGAACGGCGAGGCATAGCGGAAAGCGAACGTCGACGTGGAGATGGAGAGCGGCGGGTCGGGCCGTGTGGACGATCAGAAGGAAAGGAAGAGGAAGGAGGGCTTGAAGGCTTAGAAGAAAACTGAGGGTCGAAAGAGGGCATTCGTCTAATGTTCTGAGCAACCTGGAGACGACGACAATAACGTGCCACGTGGCCAACACCACCACAAGCAAAACATATGGGACGGTTGTCGTAGGTCCGCCATTGGTCGGAGTAGACTCCGACTTGCGGCTGGGGGGCAGAAAACTGCGGCCGAGGTGGTATCGGCATAGGCGGCGCTGAATAGGTCGGCGGCGAAAACATAGGCGCTGGCTGGAACGCAGGCTGTCGAGGTCGAGCAACGGCCTCGGCGTACGTCAGAGGTGCGGCGACTGGGGGCGGTTCACGGGCGGGAGGAAGAACTTGTGCGACCTGGTCTTGAATGGAGTCGTGGAGTGTAGATGTCAATCTGCGTGGTTGATCGGGTACGCAGGACATCAAAGAGAGCTGACGAGCGACCTCAGCGCGGATGAACTCTTGCATCTTGAAGAGAAGAGGGGCATGGTCTTCTCCTATGCCAAGGGTGGAAAGGCTGGACGAAGAGTCGTCGAGCACCGAGGGACGTCGGGTGGAAAGACGTTGCCGGCGCAACTCGTCAAAACTCTGGCATAACTCGGTCAGTTCTAGGACAGTGCGAGGACTCTTAGAAAGCAACATTTGGAAAGCGTCGTCCTCAATGCCCTTCATGATATGCTTGATCTTAAGCTTTTCGGACATCGACTCGTTGACTCGCTTGCAAAGGTCCAGAACGTCCTCAATATAGCTTGTGAAATTCTCACCAAGCTGCTGGGACCGAGTATGTAAGCGTTGTTCGGCACGGCGTTTGCGTACTTCAGGCCGCCCGAAAACTTGTGTGAGGCTCGTTTTGAAGACCGACCATGTAGGGAGTTCCGCTTCGTGGTTTATAAACCACAGCTTGGCAACGTCCGACAGGTAGAAGGAGACGTAGGCCAACTTGGCGGCGTCATCCCATTTGTTGTGAGTACTCACTCGCTCGTACATTGAAATCCAGTCGTCAACGTCCTTGTCTTCTGTGCCTGAGAAAACAGGGGGATCTCGCAAACGCAGAGAACCGGCGCAGAGAGCAGTAGGCGGTGCCGGTGGAGGAGTTGGAGCGGCGCTTACGTCGGTAGGCATAATGGATGGTAAAATACGATTCCGAAGCTCCAGGGTGATCGAAACCCAGCACCTCCACCACTGTAACGGGGCTTATTTCCAGAGCAGAACGCAGAAAGCGAAGCAGTCAGCAGCGTCGGGCCAAGCGCAGCAAGCACGAGCTTATGCTGATGGCGATGCCCCTGATGCGCCGAAAAATGCCGCTGAAGCTCCTATTTTTCACTACAAAACGCTCGCCCTGGTTGCATAATGCACCGCTATGGCATCGAATATTCATTCTCGATAGGTTTTGGACGCAGAGGGAAATGCACGGCTGCACCAAAAGTGTCGTACCTTGCAACCCTCAGCGAGACACATGCCACCTCCGACGAGAATAATGACCCCCCACTGAGCACGCTCGCTGGCTTCCTGCCACGTGATAAGGCCTCGGCCACCGGGCTTGCGAGGATCCTTGGGAATCACAAACAGCAAGAACATCACCAGCACGGCGGGTGCGGACGGCTTGAGGAATCTGCGCAAAAGTGTATTCCATGAAAAGTCCTTGTTGTGACGGACATTTTACAAAGTCTATTGTATATCGCAAGAGGCTGCGACAAACCCATATAAAACGCGAGTAATCAAATGAGAAAGTGCAGCTTGGGGAAACTCCAGTAGTATACGATGCGATTGTCCCGGCATGAATGAAGCCCTGTTTGTTGAAACCGCGTCCCTTCTTTCCTCTTTCTATCCTCCTACCTTCCATTCCTCTGTCTCGTCTATCCTACCGAAAGGGTAATCCGGCGCTGTCCCCCCCCCCTCCTCAAAGAGGCAGTCACCAGCTTGATCTCTTTCTGTTTTTTCTGTGTCTTTGTGAACCGTGTAATTAAATTAATAAATGTCCCACTGCATAAACATTACCGCTCATAGTTGGGTGATGGCAATCGAAATTGCCAGCATATTGCAAACAAATATTACAATTCAATATTTCAGTACCTGCGGGCAAAATAATCTAGCATTTTAAGAATCTACCCGTCGTCTAAAGATCGAAATAAGCTGTACTGGGCAGTACACCTGTGCTCACTTCACATTTTGTTTCGTATACTGAAATCTATGTGCACAAGTTATTGCCGTGCTAGCTTTTGTTGTTTTTTATATGTCTTTGAATACTAACTGCCTGAGCAGGGCAATTTAAAACTTTCTGTGAGAGAGAATATTCGAAACATTAGGGGCGAGGCCCACTTTCTCTAAATCGCGCTCCGTCTAGTGCAAGAATCGTCACTTCACTCGACTTGAAACTCTCTACAGCAGCAATCGTTCAGCACATCTCTTTGCAATTGAAGTTAACCAAGATTAACGTAGAAGAAAGCGAAATGTGATCACGTATTGCATATACTTACGTCTGATGAGGAATCATTTCGACCCAGCCAGGAAACATCTGGGGCTTCATTGTGAACCAGAGAAGAACCATTGAAGACATTAGGAACATGACGCACCACTCAGAAAAACTGCAATCAAATAAAGAAAAGATGCTGTAGGCGCACAAAGGCAGAGAAGAACCACAACTAAAAAATGATGACCATAATTCTATGCCTGGTGGTCCCGTGTTATCAATTTCTAACACGGGACATAACGGTGGGTGACATGAGTAAGCTAACTTGGAGCAGCTCGATCGTTTTGGTGATCAGTGAACTATGAGAATGAATGAAACTATCAAAGGAATAAACTTTTTCTAAACAGGGAAAGGAGTAGTTAATGCTCATTCAAACGTACCTTTAATCGACAATGCAGGGCCTTATACGAAGAAAAAATTCAGTTTCACCTATATAGAAGCATGCCCATGAAGGTGCCTCTTCTTATGAGTGTATGTGTTCGGTTTCACCCAGCCTCAATTTTCTTATTCATTGAAATCAAGCATGGCACATAAAAATTTTTTACAGAAACAGCGACAACTATTCTATAGCGCGGTGTTGCCAACTTGCGCTTTACTTCTTTACTCTGTGCCTTTCTATAGCAACATGTGTTGTAGTAAGTAGTTTTAGCTGTGACAGTCGCGATGACAATTGCAAAATGCACGCGCGCGCACATTGACACAAACCACGTTGTGCGTGTATACGTGCTATTTGAAAATTGAGCAATTGTGTGTAAACAGAATGTGTAGATAGCCAGTAAAAACATTGTGATGCGAATAACCGGTAGTGTCCGCGACATCAATACTTGCCTGATAGGACCTAAGTTCCGGTATTGTCCAGTGATTTCGGCGCGAACTTTTTCTGCCGCTGCATCTGACAAGGGCATTCTCCTGCAATACATTTGCAGTTTACCGTGTTAGAGGGCCCTATCAAATGGATCTCACGAGGTATAAATAATATTCACCGTACAGGAAAAGAAATGACGGTGTGTTTTGCACGGTGTTTTTAGCGCGCCCAACCACGCAGTAGGGTGAATCTAATCTCACCGGTTCGTTTGTCTTTAAAGAGGCCCCGAAACACTTTTTCACGTAACCATAGAATTAATTCACTGGAAGAGCTTATTGGCTCACGAACTCAACGCCGCAAAAATTTTAAGAATCTGTCCACTGCGAGGGGAGTTACAAAGAATTGTCGCATGCAGCATTTGCATTCTTCCTTCTCTCGTCCCGACGAAGGCGCTGGAAGCTAAACAAAGGAAAATGACAAGGCCACACACAAAAAAGGCAGAAAACGTCACGTAGGCCTCGCGACCTTGAGAATATTTTTTTTTATTTTCCTCGAATGCGCGGCTTCTTCAGCGTGATCGCGTGCACACGTGTGGACAAGCAGAGGCCTCCCACGGCGATGTCTGTAACGAGCGAGCGCGCCATGATCAAATCAGCCAATGGCTGATAGATGGGCTTGCTACGTGTGACTTTTGAGCATATTATGTGATGTGTCGAGAGAAAAGAAAGCAACTTTAGCTGACATTGATAATTTATTGTGAATTCCAGGCCGGGTGCTGCACTATAACATTCGGCTCACGTGTTGTCCGGAGCCTCTACTACCGATCGGCAGCGTTTTCTGACCATGCTCGAAAAGTGTTGCAGGGTCCTTTGACACCAGCTTATGTATTAAATGCGAAGGATAACTTGGCGGACTGCAGGCTCATATAGCACATATATATCTATCTATCTATCTATCTATCTATCTATCTATCTATCTATCTATCTATCTATCTATCTATCTATCTATCTATCTATCTATCTATCTATCTATCTATCTATCTATCTATTTATCTATCTATTTATCTATCTATCTATCTATCTATCTATTTATCTATTTATCTATTTATCTATCTGTCTGTCTGTCTGTCTGTCTGTCTGTCTGTCTGTCTGTCTGTCTGTCTGTCTATCTATCTATCTATCTATTTATCTGTCTGTCTGTCTGTCTGTCTGTCTGTCTGTCTGTCTGTCTGTCTGTCTGTCTGTCTGTCTGTCTGTCTGTCTGTCTGTCGGTCTGATAGCACTGGAGAACCACGAGGGTATACAATGCTCCTCCTAACCAACTTAGATTGGACTGAATTGAAGGGAAGAAGTGGTTTGTTTGCCGGATCATCTAAGGCTCAACACACATGATTTCTGCTGAAATATAAAGCTAATTCTAAAGATCGTATGAAACCATTGGATGACAGATTGTGGGTGATAATCAAAGGTTTTAAAACACGACAAAACTCAGAAATAATACTTGGAGCATACAAATGAATGACTTCCAGTCGGCACTCGAGGAATACAAGGTAATAATCGACAAATCTGTGTACTCGCCTGACAATGCAATCTTGAAAGGAGGCGCTTAAAACTCTGCCGTGCATAGCCAGAAAAGCCCAGAACCGATGCACGGACGGGTGGACGGATGATTGCACAGTTGGACGCATGGATGGTCGGAAGCAAGAACGAACGAAACGAACGGACGGCCGGCAGCCCAGACGGATTGATGGATGCTTCGCCCCACTCTTCCTCATACACTCCCTGGATATGCTGTGATTTTTTTAGATGAAGAGACAGCCTTCCAATCGGGCGCGAGATAATGCCGGTCCTACTTGGTTAAGTGCTAGTGATTTGAATGCTCTCTCAAGTCTTGCGTCTTTTGATGTGTTTCTCCTCTTTTTAGTTTCTGGGTTGATGCGGGCTATTTATTTTCATGCCGTATGAGCATCAAAACTTCAGTTGTTAACCAGTGCCTGTGTCTCCAGCCGTAGTGGATGGACGCCGTAGTGGAGGGCTTCGGAAATTTCAACCACCTGGGGTTCTGTAACGTTCATCCATATCTGAGAACGCAGGCCTACAGCATTTTCTCCTCCATCGAAAATGCAGCCGCCACAGCCGGGATTCGATCCCGCGACCTGCGGGTCAGCAGTCGAGTACCTTAGCCACTAAACCACTGCGGAGGAGCTAAACATATGTTTGTGCGTACATTTGTACATACGAAATTTGTACTTGGCGTCATTTTGTAAAGTTTCGCTAAATGAAATAAATTACGCCACAGTTCTCTTCCCCCCGCATGCTTCACGTAACATAGATTCCCATGGTACGTAGGATTCGCCGAATTTGTTTCAGCCTTCGCATTTCCTCTTTATAGCAACGGATGCATATTCATCTGCTACCGCTAAACGTAAATGGCATAAGTTTTAAGGAGGCAATGCCATTATGGTGGGAATTTCTCTGCTAAACTCCTTGTAGCACAATGTACTATACGCATTAGGCTCAATATTTTTGAACTTGTTTTCTTTAGTTTAACTGACACTCTAACATTTTTTTTTGTTTTCTTCAATGCGATACCGAACAGTGATTACGTGGCGTTCTTATATGACGGTTAATAAGTAAGGCTGGTTAACTTGGGTCATTTCATTTTTTTGTTTTGTTTTGACCGCTCATAACGTCCTCTTTTTTGAAAGTACTTCAGATATAACTGTACTTGTTTTCAGGCGGCGTCTCTCTCGCACAACATCAGTATTACATGAAACCAACATTCATGTCGCTCATCTTGTCAGTCACAGGGTAGTATACATGTTTTTGAAGATTTTGTCGACAATCTATCAACATTTTTACTCACAGTCGATTTTGCGCAGCACCCCGTCTATCTTCGGGCGCTGTCTCTTCTGGTGCTTCATTGGAACATGAAAGCGTGTTCAGATAATAAAAAGATACGAACACTTCTTTCTCACGCACGTCCTAATGTAGACTACTCTGATACAAAAAAAAAAAAACAAGACGGGAAAGCATTTGAAATCTCACATTTCTTTTCTCGCGAAGACCAGTAGGCAGGCCCATCCAATGAGTACGCAAATCAGCATGGTCGGAGCATTGTAGAGCATCCACGTGGTGAAGGTCAACTCAGTAGACTCAGGAAACATTCTGCGATTCAGCGACAAGACCATATTTCAGGCTTTCCAAAGTCTATTAAGTGATAGCGTGAACACAGACATTCGCCAACATGCATCTGCTCTGGGCAATCTATTTTACGTAATTTGACATCCACGGTTTCATTTGCGGCTTGGATATCCCATCATCAATGATACCGATAATAAATTTCGATATTGGGGGCTTGATGTAAAAATCATAATTATTAGTGTGCAGGTCTCCGACATCTCGTTAGAACTAAATCGATGATGAGACGGCAGTGAATGTCTATTTTTTATTGGTACGATTTGAAATACATTGAGGCTATTACCTTGCATTCCTCTGGAAAGATGGTCAATACACCAAACTGAAAGGCCATAAGATCAGTTTTTGCACAGAAAATCTTTGAAGGCCTTATTGAACTTTTTGCGTGGTAGTGGCCTATTCAATAAACCCCCACTCATTTTTTTTTCTTTCTCGCGCGTCTATTTCGCTCTTCGCTTTCTTTCCCATCTTCATTACCCATTATCCCTTCCCTTAGGGTAGGGTAGCAAACCGAATACTCCAATTACTGGTTCATCTCCCTGATTTTCTCTCACTTTCTTCTCTCTCTCTCTCTCCACCAAACTAAAGACAACTAAAGTGCAGCCTTATATTACACCTAACTTTCCAGTAATTTTTATTTTTCACTGATTGATCACTTCATCGCATCCAATTGTTACCGCATTAGAGTATTTGCTCGAGCTCCTAGGAAGATAGCGTGAATTTTTCATCGCGACTACCTATAGAAAGCAAATGAACTCGATGGTTAATATTGGGTTAAAAGTAACTGAAAAACACGAGCACAAAAAAAGAAAGACGCATGACCTAGACATGACGAACACTGAACTTAGAGTCAAAGTTCTGTTAAGATAACGACCAAGGTCTATTCAAATGGGCCGCGAACATTCGGGCGAAAAGCGGTTCAGAAGCTTTTAGCAGGGACATCAGCATGCGGATTTACGGCTGCGGTGATTGAAGCGCGACTATGTTTTGAGGGAACAAGCGCTAATAGTGAACAACTAAGATTTATTAAAGGCGAAGCAATGTTTGTGTTTTACAAGTGACATTCCCTCCAACAATATTATGCACACGTGTAATGAGCAAGGAATTTGTGACAGTTTTATTATTATTTATTTATTTATTTATTTATTTATTTATTTATTTATTTATTATACCCTCAAGGCCATGGGCATTGAAGAGGGGAGTGGGAGTAACAAGATGCACAAAACATAGAAAAAACAGAGCATGTGTTTAAATAGAAAAAACATAGATTATCCTGATTATACAATATTAGCTAATGCTTGATGAAACAGGTGATTAACGCGTATGGAAACAACATCGGCGGGAAGGTGGTTCCACTCTCGGGATGTTTTTGGAATGAAAGACTCAGCAAAATATTTAGTGTTAGATGAAACAACTCCAACTTTATGATTATGGTCAATTCGACATGATATGTACTGAGGTTGTGAAAGCAGTTCAGCATGGAGAGAAGCATGGTAATAAATCTTATGAAATAAAGTTAGGCGAAAAATGCGACGTCGTGATGCTAAGGATGGGAGGTCAATACTACTTTTCATTGCCGTTACACTTGCCGTTCTGTTGTAATTTGATAGTATGAAACGGGCTGAATTATTCTGAACAAGTTCAAGTGCGGTGAGTAAGTTGTCGTGGCAAGGATCCCATACTGGTGTTGCATACTCTAGTTTTGATCTGATTAGTGTTTTGTATAGAAGGAGTTTTAAAGAAGACGGGGCTGAAAAAAAGTTTCGACGTAAATAACCTAGCATGCGGTTTGCCTTGTTAATAATGTATTCGATGTGTTTCGTCCAAGTTAAGTTGTTGGTAATATGAACACCTAAGTACTTGTAAGAGGAAACGATTTCAAGTGGTGTATTGTTCAGGTAATATATAGGCATACAACTAGTAGTTCTCGATACACGCATTACTTTACATTTGTTGACATTAAGTTCCATTAACCATTCTTTGCACCAGTTGCTTACACTATTTATATCTGACTGAAGAGAGTAGGAGTCGTTGTCAGCAGTTATTTCGCGAAAAATTACGCAGTCGTCGGCAAACAAATGAACATTAGAGGATATAAGAGAAGGCAGATCGTTAATGTAAATAAGAAACAAAAGAGGTCCAAGAACAGATCCCTGGGGGACACCAGAGGAAACCTGGCTGAATGAAGAGTTATGATTATTAGCTGAAACAAATTGCGAGCGATTTTCAAGGAAACATACAATCCACTTCATTATGGTGTCATCGAGTTGGAGTTTGCTTAGTTTGTGTAGTAGCAGCTTGTGGCATACCTTGTCAAAGGCTTTGGAAAAGTCTAAATAAACACAGTCAACTTTTGATGATTGGTCTAAAATGATATGCAGCTTGTGAGTAAAGGATATTAACTGTGTTTCGCATGAGAGCGATTTGCGAAAACCGTGCTGTGCAGATGTAAAAAACGAATTTGATTCAAGGAAATTGACTAGATGTGAGAATATGATATGTTCCAGTAATTTACAGCAGGTACTGGTTAAAGATATAGGGCGGTAATTTGCGGGGGATGTTTTTTGGCCAGATTTGAAGAGTGGAACCACCTTACCTATTTTCCATTGTATGGGTAGCGTAGATGTCTCAAGTGACTGCTGGAATATTTTTGTTAAAATAATAGAACTAAATGAACTTGTATTCTTCAAAAACTTCGAGTCTAATAAATCGTAACCTGGAGAAGAATGGTATTTAAGTCCAGCAATCAACTTAGCCACTGGATTAAAAATGTTTTTTCTGGCTTCTTCTCACGCCATTATTTCTCAGTGCAGCCCTTGGTCTGCGCGGAAAGGCACGTTCGTATGAAATTCGTCTGCGATGGCACACCCCCTCCTGTGTATTACTATCCCGCACTTGCAGTTTCTGCTGTGCACGAAGTTGTGAGGTGCGTTTTATCTTTGGTGAACATCTTTTAAGCAGTGTTAAACGGGTAGCGTAATGATGCAGATTACACTTAACGCCGACTACTTGCGTCGGTACCTGCCGAAACGATGTGCTGTGCAAGGATGCAGTAGCAACGAACGTATGCCTGGCGACCCATGTCTTCTAAATAAGAAACAAGGGCAACGGTTCGGAATACTGTGCTCGCTAGACTTTCATGCATCAGTATGCCTGCGGTCCAGTTTCCTTCTTGAATACGCAGTGACTGGTATTATTCGTGTTATCAGTGCGCTGATCGCCAAGTATGTCTATCGCATAACAATTCATATGCCTGCATTCATGTATACGTAGCGGTAATATATTGGAGCATAATGCAAAACAAAGCGCTGGTAGTGTCCACAGAGTTTTTGTGCTTATTACCATTGTGTACAGCGTTATAGGCTTGAGTAATTGTGACCAATGAGTAAAACTGAAATGTCATAGCTTTCCTGTGACTAGGCGTCATTTTTCACAAGCCTTGTTCACGCTAAAGAAGCTGCGTATGTGCGAAGCAAATAAGCAACGATGAAGATATGACAGGTACGCTGTTGGATTTCTTTAATCCATCTGCGGGAAATGCCACGAACACCAAATAACAGTTCCGAGAATAAGGTTTCTAGTGAAACCGCGGCAAACTGAATTGTAGTACACTTAAACATCACTGTCTATTGAAGGGTCGATATTAGATCAGCAGGCACTGTTTTGGAGCGCACTCATTCAGATATCGCCGGCAATCGCCCTAGCGCGACATCTTAGCCAGAAAGGCCTATGAAGAGTAACTTGAGATAAAATTTCGCGCCAGAGACAATCAAATGACGTCATTTGTTTACGAGCTATTGCGTCGTACTAGCTTAATTTTTTGTTCTACCTCCCAACAGAGATGGCGCTAAGCCCCATGAGGACGATAGTTATAGCGCGAGAACAAAACGACGACACAGAGACAAGAAGGGCATGAAAGACACGAGCGCTCGTGCCTTTCGTGTCCCTCTTGTCTCTGTGTCGTCGCTTTGTTCTCGCGCTATAACTATCGTCATGCCATACCAACTAGCCCAAGCTGCCACACTCCATGAGGAGTTCATCAGCCTCCATTTTTGACCATATGGGTTTCTATAGAGCTTCGACTGCCAGTTATATCTACCTTGTAACAACTAACTCGTCTATACTCCCGGACAACTTTTCTTCGCAATAAAGCCAAGACTACATACACAGCCAAATTGGGCGTGTGCCACCGATGAAGAATATAGACCCACAATTGCGTCCGTGTTTTTGGTGCGAAAATCATAAACAACATTGCTTTATTTTTTACGGGATGCTGCCTATGGAGAAGCAGCACGCACCAAGGATGCTATATTTAGTTGTTCCACATTATTCGATGCCATTTCGCGTTCTTGCACGAGTGAATACGTGGGACGATTCATGTGAACCTCACAGTGAAAAAGGCGTCTTCGTCTTCAGGTGAGTGCTCGTCGCCCTCCAGCTATTCGGATGACAAAGGAGGTTGTGACGAACTTCACTAACTAATGGCTGTCTGAGCAGACGTAGCTAACTGTATGCGACGGTGTTATCCGAACGCGGACGTCTTTTGAAACGCCAGCCGAACCAGACTACATCGTGGAGAAGTATATGTGCAGTGGCTCTGCGCCTGCAGCTTTCCCTTCATTGACTGTGTTCCAATTCTCAGACAGCACGTAGATACTCTACGAAGACAACATGAAAACAGCACTGAGCCCATGCTGTCTGAGAAATTGAACAATGTCTGGACGGCTTCTACGCGACGACGTGCCACCTCGCGTCGAGAAGAGAGAGGTAAAATGAACAGAGGTAAATCTTGTGTTTTGTGGCTTAATTTGTCTTAAATTTAAAAAAAATTGAACGTCACTCACATTGAGTGTCTGAAGTAGCATCAGCTTGTGTGCAGACGACAATTCCGGCGAGATTCGATCTATCTGCGAGATTTGCTGAGTCGCCATCTTGTTTGGACAGCAAAGTAGCCTGCATCGTATTTGTCTCTATACGGTGTGGTCTCATAGGAGCTGTCTATTTTGCCGGCTACGTGATAATTGAAATGGGGTTTAAGATGGCCGCCGTCTATTTAGCTGCCTAATTAGCCATTTACGGCGAGTATTGAAACATACCTATCGCCAAGAAAAGTTGTCTGCAAGTGTAGCATCATTGCTACACTTAATTTTGATTGATTGATTGATTTACTGATTGATTGCGAAAAGAACAGTGGTCACGTTTCCTCTTATTTGCATTGGGGATAATCTTGAATGCATAAATTTTGTCATGCATCACTCACTCATCCATAACACCCTTGAGTACAAGATTAGAGCCCGTGCCAATGAGAGATCCAGTTCCTCCGATGTTAGCCGCATATGCCACGGAGAGTAGCATAACTGTACGGAGTTTTTTCTGCCTTGAATGCCCCCTGAAAAGATAAGTTGTGGTTATATTCAGCTCAAATTGAAACTTTGAAGAAAACATAAAGTGAGACAAGTAAATAGTGTTACTTAATGAGCCTATCATAAAGGAAGGATTGCGCAGGAACACAGCGCACTAAAAAAAAAAAGCGATGTCTCCTGCGCAATCTTGCAACTTTTTTATTCACAGCTAAGGCGAGTGAATATATATAGCTGTGAGAGGGCGAAAAATGAGAAAGGAGGGACCCCTTATTGAGCAAATTAATCTGAAAAAAGAAGATAGGGAATTAAAGGTTGTGTCTGAGGACAATGCACGTACAAATGCACATTCATTTTTATAAGTAGGAACCGAGAGGAACCGAGATTTCACCCATACAACCAATCCCACGTCTATCATTATAAAAAACTTCAATCAGTGAACGAGCTGTGTTGTGTTTGCTTTTGTTTAAGATCTTTGTTTGAGTATTGCTTCAATTTTTTTTTTTTCATTCACCGCGCAGACTTTGCAATGACGTGGAATGAGAGTGGCCAAGCCATGTAATAACACACGTTTATGAGCACGAACACGATCATTTATGCATCGGCCAGTTTGGCCGATGTATTACGTCCCAAATTTCAGTGCAATTTTATAAACAACACCTACTAAACATTCAACGGTAATTTTTATGCTTTTTCTTCTCTCGCACTGTTCTCTTTTTCGCTTCGTTGGATCGATTTTTCCGCACAAAGAAGACAGTTCCTTGTGAGCAGAAAATACAACCAGAACAATGCACATCACAGCCACATTAGGCCCGTTGTAAAGGATTATAACGGGTCTTATCTTTTGTTTAGGATATTAACAATAATTCTGCCACAAAACACATGAGAATTGGCAAGTAGCCAGCCTGCTTAAGCTTCTGAACCCGGCCTTAGAATTTTTCCTGCATTTTATCAAGATCTCTTTAGTGACGCTTGAAGGCCAATAAGTGCTATCACGCATTTAACTGTCTAGGTCTGAGCACATTTACAAGGCATCATTTCCACGCAAGTGGGCGATACATTTAGGGGCACTATGCAGGATCGCCCGAGCTTGGCGAAACGCAGGTTCTTGCCGAGCTCTGGTGACACCCCTTTTTGAACGAGCTGGCAGTGTGAAAAAGTCAAATTCACCCATAAGCGCGCTGTGTTTCATTGGTTATGATGGAACCCGGCATCACGTCAAGGATGGTCGACAAAGTTGAGCGGTGTTCTGAAACCAGAGGCATGTTCTTTCATTTTATTTTGTTCCACGGAGTGCAAAAGTGCACCCATGCTCTAAATTTGTCAAGCTTCTTCTGATGATGTTTTATAAAGGCACGAGCCGTTTATATTCATTTTGAAGCTTCTAATGCCTGCAATAAATCTGCTTTATTGATTGATTGATATGTAGGGTTTAACGTCCCAAAACCACCATATGATCATGAGAGAAGTGGAGGGCTCCAGAAATTTCGACTACCTGGAGTTCTTTTAACGTGCGTTCGAATCTGAGCACACGAGCCTACAACATTTCCGCCTGCATTGAAAATACAAGTGCCACGACCTGCGGGTCAGCAGCCGAGTACCTTAGCCGCTATACTACTGCGGTGGGGCATGTCTGTCTTAGAATAATCAGCATGGTGGTCTCCGAGATTCGTTCCGGCTGAGCGCCTCACGACACCACGACCGCATCGAAACCGGAGGGTACGTCACCGCGGTCAGCCTGAACAACCTAGCGCGCTGCGCGGCCGGTGTGCGCCTTCTTTGTCGTCTTCATCCGCTAGTACCCGAACACGTGAGGCAGGTTAGCTATTTGGCAGGGTGGTATACCTGGCTAGGTAGGCCAGGAGATGCTATAACCACGGCCATTCATCTATGTAAAGCTGCCATGTAATGTCACTATTATTGCAATGTCACCATTATGAGCAAGATTCAATTTATAGTATGTGGTGTACACGTATCCCGAAGGAGTACGGCCACCAGCGTGGGTCCGGTCCTAGCGAGCCGCAGGGCACGCGTTAACCGTCGCCGTGGCGGGAAACACGATACTGCTCAAGTCGCAACACTTTATTGTGGCAACACCAAACGCAGTACAGCCCGTTGCAAATAGGCGCGGCGGGAAAGCAAGTAGGCTTATCCACGCCACGGGCACAAAGTACTACACAGGGGTGCCACGAGCACGTCTCCGCGGTAAAGCTGATCTACGGAGACACCGGAGCAAAGGCCCGGTTGCTCGAGCGAGGGCAAAGGCGCTCGCGTTGGCTTCGAAGGGAGACGGGTCGGCGTAGCGAGGCCACGCCCTAGGACACCGTACCGCCCTTCGGCCGTGCGTACGCAGCGGGGCAAACAGCGGGTGAGCGTTCGCCTTGGGCGCAAGGCGCCGTCAGCGAAGTCCGACGAGCCCCCGACTGACGGGAGTCGACGGACGAAAAGATAGCGTGCTCACCGTTTGCTGTCCCGGAGAGTATCTGCCCGCTCCCGACGCAGCGCGCGAAAACCTCTCTTGGGAGTCCCCGCGCGCGGCGCCACCGTCAGCATCCGCTACCGGGTGAGGGAGTTAAACGTCACTCCGCTCTCTCAGCGCGGCAGACAGCAACGGAGGGCAGACATGTCGGGACATGAGAACGGCAGAAAAGGCGGGAAAGCCCGCTTAAAGGCAGCGGGCCAGCCTCAATTCCCACATCCCCCTCTCCTAAATTTGCCCTTTACCGGTCTGCAAAAGGCAGCCGGGCGTCACCCATGCAGTTAGAATGACACTGCTATGAGCGACAGCTAACCTCAGTCCAGCCCTGTTACTGCTGCTAAAGAAAAAGATTACAAGTGAGGAACAAAAACATAAATAACAAAATAAACACATGACACTATACAAATAACTGCGGAAGGGAGCACAGAAACGTGGCACTAGTGTTCGTGGTGCTGAAGGGGGATAGCGTCCAGTGCGCGGAGGGGCGGTAAAGGCGTGACAGTGTCCGCTGGGTGCGATGCCCGAGTGCGAGGTCAGAGGTACCGGAAGGGGGGGCTCACTGATGGCTCGTTGCTGGTCTTGTTAAGCAGCGAGTCCGACGAACGCTGCCTCGGCTGTGCTTCGGAGGACCCGCATTTCTGGCTCGATGATGAAGCTGGAACGTTGCGCGAAGCCGGGCCTCTCCAGTGCTCAGGGAGGCCGACCCAAATTGGCTGCGAATGGCGTTGGCCGGCAGCATATAGCTGCTTTCAGCTGGCCTCGCGCAGGAGCCATGGTGGTAAAGGCAGCGGGGCTTCTTCGACGACGGCCGAGAGCAGAGCACAGCCAGATGGTGTGACGTCAGTGGGTCAATGACCCCCCAGCACCTCCAGCGTCCGCATCGATGGGGGGGAAGCCATGACGCACTCTTCGCGGGCTCGCACTGAAGCGTCACGCACTTACACACGCACACACACCGCCGACGGCTGCGCGAGCGTAGGCGCAAAGCGTCCTTCGTCTCTCTCCCCCGGCAAGCACCGACACTCAAGGTCACACACAGCTCCCTTCGCGGTAGACGAACGAACACGAAAAAAAAAAGTAAACACAGAGCATACTGACACTAAACATCTGGCAAAAAAAAACAAAATACAAATAACACTTAATATTAGACAAAAGAAACATAAAATACACATGAACACTTAAAAAAAACTGGCAGCAGACAGGGCGGGGTTAACTTCTTTACGAGAAAAGGCCGTAAAAAAGCCAACCTATACTGAGGCTAGACAGTAAACCGAGGGCCTTCGGTTGCGGAGAAGTCCGCCGTCCGGCGCGAAATCACAAAGGTGACCGCTTCCTCAGATTATACCGGTGCGGGGTCCGAATGCGGTCCGCCGCTCCGGGTGTGCCTCGTTGCTGGCGCGAAGTGCCGCAGGGCTCTTGCGCGAGCTCGTCAGACCGTGATACAAAGGGTTTCAGGTATGCGATATGGGCACGGCTGAGTTTTCCCGTATGGGGATCTTTCAGCAAGTACGCGAGTGGAGTGCAAGCTTTCTCCACTCGGTACGGACCAAGCCACTTAGGAGCGAGCGAGGTTGAGAACCCCTTACTGGCATCGCTAAGGGCGTGGTTGCGCTTCAGGACAAGATCGCCCACCTCAAAAACTAGGTCGCGATGCTTGCGGTCATATTGGGCCTTCTGCTGAGCCCTGGCCGACGCCAAACTTTGCCTTGCTTTGCAGAAAGCTCGACAAAGCCTGTCCCGAAGTGCCGACGCGTAAGCAGAGCAGTCTGCCGGCGCCTCCTCGTCCTCGAGCTGGCATTGAGTGACGCTGGTCACCGGATTTGCCAACTCCCTTCCAAAATTTAAGAAGGTGGGCGAGAAACCAGTTGAGCGACTCTCGGATGTTCGAATAGCGAACGCGAACTCACTCAAATGGTCTGCCCAGTCCCTTTGACTTTCGGCAAAGGCCGCCAACATCGGTTTGAGCGTACGATTGACGCGCTCCGTCAAATTGGACTGGGGATGGTAGGGTGAAGTGGTGCAGTGATCAATTCCGAGGGAACGGCACGTGACACCAAACACCCGAGCGGTGAAATACGAAGCATTGTCAGTGATGAGCCTTTCCGGGAAGCCGAACCGGCAAAACACTTCCTGCAGCTTCTCAAGCACCGCTCGCGCTGTCACCTTCCGAAGTGGGAAAAGTTCCACCCATTTCGAAAAGTGATCAGCGACTACCATCAGGTGAATGAACCCCTGCTTACTTCTGGGAAATGGTCCCATTAGATCGCAGGTGGCCACTTGCCACGGACGCTCACTGACAATCGGTTTCATCAGACCGGGCGGTTTGCCACCCCTTGATTTCACCGTTTGACAGACGCGGCAAGAACGGCAGTAGCGAAAAATGTCTCGCTTCATGCCGGGCCAGGTCACAACGCGGCTCAGTTTTGCAAAAACTTTCGAGCCACTCAGGTGACCGGCCATGGGTTCGTCGTGAGAGGATCGCAACAGTGCGGCTCTCAGACTTTTGGGCATAACCACCTTAAACGGGTCTATGGACTCGTCGTCAGTGGC